GGCAAAATAGAGTCACTCAAAGATTATTTTAACAATTGTTGCTTTTTCTAGTTTTCAAAAGAGAAAAAAAGAATGAAGAGGAAAGTAACAATGCGCTCTAGGTATTTACGTTATTCATTAATAATCTTTAGGTACCTCGAAAATATGTTTCTTCCTTCGAAAAAACTTTGTATTTTGAAAACACCTAACCTCTGTATAGTGGACACTTTTGAAAAGTCCCAAGGGTGTCCACTATAGGGAGGTTATATAGTATTTAAATCCAAGAAATCTTTTCAATGGTATCTGAAACGAAATAATACATTTTTTTTCTCAAAATAAAATATGTTATGGTACCATGCGAAAAATAAAAATGTGATATGTCTAAGCATCATTACTTCTTATTCTGCATAGGATATAATATTATATTCCAAGATTTGTATTTAAATTGAGGGTAAATATTTAATTGAACAGAATCGATTTGATGAATGAATAGAACAATTGCTCGAAACTACACAATGACACTAATCTATCAGTAGATTTATAAAGATAATTGCTTGATTCTTTTTCTTTACTTTGTACACAAACAATATAAGTAATACTTCCATCGGTAATATCGAAATATTTGTATTGAACAGTATCAAATAGAACTGTAAAATTCACACACCAGAGTATGATTAGAAGTATTTTATTGTAATGTATAAGAGATTTCTTGGAGTATATTCCGAAAAATTAATAGATCATCTAAAAATGATAGTGTCAAAGCGCCAGGGTAGTCGAGGGTGGATGTGCGGGTGTAGGTACGGATGTTTGAGAGAAAATATAATCCACACTCACATCCACACCCACATCCACACCCACACCCAAATCTATATTAGAAATACTCTTGGAACGTGTCGTCCAGTGCAAGCCATTTCTAGAGATGGAACGCTTATTTTTTATAGAGTTATAGTCCATTGAGAGTACTTTCAACTTATAAAGACCAACTCTCCAAGTAATCCATGTTTTGTGCGAAAGTGAATCCTGAAAACTGTCATTTTTGAGAGGACTCTTCTGACCCAATGGAACAACGTAGACAGCTCAAATTTCCAGGGAACATATACCTTTTATTGCTCTATCTATGCTGGAAATTTCAGACTTCTATATCATTCCAATCAAAAGTTATGAAGCACACAACTTACCAAAAATTAGCATTTTTCTGTATTTTGTGTGCTTCATAAAATCCCAATGGCTCAATATTTCTCAATAAAAACTTTATGGCAAATAGAATTCGCTGAGATATATGTTGACAGAGAATTTCTGCCCAGTCTGTGGAGCCGTTCATGAGATATTATTGTATTAGGACCCCTGTTCGGGAAGAGGGACCTTAGTAGGACGTTTCATAGAATGCCCCAAAATAATCAAAGGGTTCATATTTTTAGAAACGACTTGCGTCAAAACTCTCAGAATGCTTTCCTCTGTAACATATGTTAAATTAAGCAAAGTCTGACTACCACGTCTCGGACAAATGGGGTTGAGGTTTATATGCCCTGGCTCATAATAAGGTCTACGCATCTCAGATACACCTTCCAAAGATGACTTCCTGTGCAAGCCATTTCTGCAGATCCCACGCTGATTTTTTTTTGGGCTTGTAGCCCCAAGAGAGTACTTCAAACTTCTGAAGGCCAACTTTCCAGACAGTCCATATCTTGGGAGAACGGGAACCCAGAAAAACCTCATTTTCTTCGAAAACCGATTTGTCAGAGGACCCTCCTGACCGAACGAAACAATGTAGGCGACTGAAATTTTCAGGGAACATATACCTTTTATTGCTCTATCTAGGCTGAAAATTTCAGACTTCTATGTCATTCCAAGCAAAAGATATGAAGCACAAAAGTTATCAAAAATTAGCATTTATAGATATATTGTGTGCTTCATAAAATCATAGTGGCTTAATATTTCTCAATAAAAATTTCATGGCAAATAGAACTCACTCAGTTATATGTCTACAGAAAATTTCAGCTCAATCTGTTGAGTTATTCGTGAGATATCATCGCATTAGGACCCCGTTTTTGACATGAGTCATTTTTGAGGCTTTTAGTAAAATGCTCATAAAAAATCGAGGGATTAATACTTTTTGAAACGGCTTGCGTCAAAACTCTTAGAACAACTCCCTCTATAACATATATTAAATTGAGCAAAATCTGACGACATCGATTGAGCAGGTCTCTGGTAGATCGGTCGTGGCTTATATGAAATGGCTCTTATGACATATCGATATACGTATATCGTTTGAATTCGTAGGGACATACAAAGCAGGACCAACCATACCGGAAACGAGGTCGAACGTCTACGCGAGTGAGTTCATCGAAAATAAAAACCAAGAGTAAGACTTGATCGGCATTGATTTATTATAGTGTGAATAAAAAATTTGTGCAAACGGTACAAGATCAAAGTAATCAAATTCAGAAGTTAGAAAATAATCAATCTTCTTCGATAAAGTAACTTCTCAAAGGCACAGATGATAAAAATTACTTCTGTATTTAGATCAATTACCCATAAAACGACAGATTCAAAACCAGTAGAGGATGAACGTGATGAGATAGGCCGTTTACAGAGGTTCGGATATCACGCTTAAGAGAATGCTGCTTTGATCCAGTCTTTTCTGTTTTTTCTAAGACACAACTCGGAACTTGCTAGAGAATTGGACACGGTATTAGCAACTCAAAACGGCATATCAAATAAGAGCTTTAATTTGAAACGTGAGTTTTTGCTCTATGGGTTACTAAATAAATATACAAGACTATATTCTTTTTAGGCCGTGGTGAAGAATTCCATCATTCATTTAGAAAACGGAAACAACAGCATTTTTATTGTCCAAGGTCTTAGACAATGCTGGAACAACGACCAAATTTTTATCACAATAATCGAGAGAACGCGAGACTTAGTTTTCTTTTAATTTGAGTTTATAACAATGGTTTTCTTATTTTTCAAATAGTTTCATCATTTCTACAATACATTATTTATCATATTTTCGACGTTTTTATCAAAAAAAATTTTTAAGAAGCTGCCCTACATAGAAAAAGAACTAGCGATACTAAATAGTCTATCTTTATATGTATTGGTCTTCGTTTCATACAAATTCACAGCTACGTAAGCTGATAAATACAGGAAAAGTTGCTTGATGGCAGTTTTCTTTACTGCATGAAAATGTCTCCGGTGGAGAAGCAAAAAATTATTTGAAAGACAGAGTAAATAGTTCTACAGAGGAATAAATTTTGCTTTGAGTGAAGGATATGGGTGTGAGTGTAGGTGTGCGTGTTATCCAATTGAAGATACCCACATTCACACCTACACCCTCATTTTAGAAGTTCATAAATAAAGTATTCTCAATTGATTTTATTTGAATAATATCTAAGTCTTACTCAAAGAAAAAAAAGAACTGTATATCATTAATTGTTTTGAAGAATTCATTTGAAAATTATACCAGCATGATAGTTATCATTTTTCTCGTGCTTTTAAAATTTATTTAACATGAGAATTAATCCATCCATACATGAAGTGAAGATACATGAAATGAATACGTTCCATCAGTACAGATGTTATTCTGTTGTAAATACTCATCTATTACTGACAGAGGCGTTTTGAAAGGACAAGTCCAATGGGCAGCTATGCTGTTTAGATAATGAAGTTCATTAAAGATTCGAAAAATATCATCTTGATTCTTGACGGACAAAGAAATATGTTCTAGTTTTGGAAATGATTGACAGATTTGATCAATATCCATACTATGTACAGTTTGTTTCATATTTAAATTTTTTATTTGTTCAAATACATTTTGACTATCTGGAAGTGAATTGATAATTTGTACCAATGTTTTACCACACATAGTTAGTTGATAAATGTTTGGTGCTGCTTGAAAAAGATCGTTCAACGGTATGCGTCGTACACACCCTCCAATTTTTAGATGATTGACAGATAACAAATTGATAAATTTTTGTAATTGATCTATGGTATCAATGCTACTTTCTAGCCATAAGGTTCGGATATGTTTGAATGGTGTTGGAATGAGATCCTCTGAAGGAAAATCAATCAATCGCAATTCTGTGCAATTCTCATTGAATGAATAAGGCGTTAATGAGTAGTTAAAAAAGCCTTCACCTGGTGGATACCAAACATCAGTTGAAGAGAAATGAGGTACAGAGAATAATCTTGCGCATGATGATGTTGTAGTCGAGATCAAACAAGCCATATGCCAGCGTTTTTCAATTGTCCAAAATGAATCTTGAAAGGGTATAAGTACATTGTCACCAGTCATGTTATTCTCCTCTGGTGTTATATTCAATGCAAATTTTGTTAGATGTGGTAATTTTGTTTTAATTAATGTCTTCCATCGTCTACCATCAAGTAGATCTTGTTCGCCTGTTATTGTTAGTACAAGACTTTTGAGTGATGGAGTAAGTGAAAAAAGATTTTCGAATTCATTAAATAATGTCCAACTTTTTGATTCGATTATTAGAAAACTTAAATGCAATGGAATATAATCAAATGTTACCATATGGTGTCCGAATGGTATTGATATCTGAAGATAAAATAGATTCGGAACCCAATGAAAAATCATTCGTAAATCGTTAAATGTGCAAGAATGAATAGTTAAATGAGTAAGTTTAGATAATGGTTGTTGAAGAGTAATTAACTGTGAACTGTCTATGAATGTCAAATGTTCCAAAGAAGGTAAAGTTGTCAATATCTCAGTAATAGAACGAGATTTTCTTTTATTTACTTGAATTGGATAACCATTTATTGATAGAGATTGGATTTGAATATGATTTTCAAGATGTGATAGCATCATGAAAAGTAAATCAGCATCATGAACTTGATTAATACTTATATATTGAAGATTATTAAATTTAATAAGTGGTAAAAGAGACATGAAGAGTTTAATTTGACCCGGAGTATGTTCATCATCAGAAAGAAAAAGAGATTGTACTTGATGAGGATGAATATGTTCGCATATAAAATAGAATGTTGACTTTTTCATTGATTTAAAATTGAGTTTCATACGAGTGTATGAATGAAGTATGATATCGAGATATGGATCAATTTGAATGAATGCATTTAAAAGATCGGTCGTTTTCAAAAAATCAAAAATCATATGGAGAATTTCACAGGGAAAGTAATCCAGCATACACGGCATGGTCTTGAAAGAGAATATAAGTTGAACTGATAAATCTAAAATTTTCAAAAGAAAAGAGTTGTTTGCAGCAATAAAACGATCGTTCGTCATGATTGTTATAACTACATGTAAAGACAAAAATATTTGAGTAAGAGAACGAGTAAAAAAAATACTACACGTGCTTAAATGTCTGTATGTTTATTGCGAAACTCCATGAAAGCCACTATAAAAGTACGTGCATCTCCTTATAAAAACTCGTATATTTCAAGCAAAACTAGATGGCGTTAAATTATGGTCAATATTCGTTACTACTATGAAAAGAAAAGAATAATTTTCGATGTATGGACATCGACAATGAAAAGTCTGATTCGTTGTATCTATGATCTTTTCATGAATTAAAATTATTTGCATTGTCAATGATCGATTGTATCGGATTCTCTTCGATATTCGGCATTCAACTATTTTCTTTGATAGATAATAAGAGAAAAAGAGCATTCGTTTTAATATGATTGCAATATTCCTCATAATTACCACCTTGCCCTTTGCTTTTGGCGAATAATATTTGAATGCATTTGGCACATTTGAAAATGGAGAAAAGTTTTTCATGCGGTTTCCCACGATCCATTCGAAATACTTCCGCTTATGTTTTATGTAGATAGCAACTAGAGCAGCACAAGCATTATTTGCTCATTTTTCGATAGGTTTTTATAGTAAACAATGTTTATCTTCGCTATGAAACTTCGTTTTCTCGATTAGGGTGTGGGTATGGGTGTGGGTGTGAATATGGGTTAAGAGATTACCTATCCTAACACCTACACTGACACCCACACCCTGCACCCCACACCCACACCCACACCCACACCCACCCACAAATATTATTCGATATTGCTTGCATACGAATAAGAGAATAAATTAAATTGCTGATGCCAAATGATATTTATCTACTGTTTTGTTAGAATTTATTATTTTTGCAAGACATTGAGCTTGGGTGTGGGCGTCAACGTGAACGATCAAAATACTAAAAATCCGAAAATTCTCTCAAAAACAATCATGAACTGTTTGAGAGATCTGTACACATCATGCCTAAAGAGTATCAGCTTTAGTAGAATACTAATGGTAATTGAATCGAAGATTGTTCTGCGGCAACTTTTATAAAAACAAAGACACCCATAACAAATAAACATACTTCTATAAGGTAGAATTGTTAAATGGGGTTATTCTCATATGAGAAATATTGCGTTGTCTTCAAATTCAACTTAGTCATAAACGTGATGATTAGTTAGAATCAAATGTTAGTGTCCTTGGTTTAGGAATGTGGAGTGGGATGTTACAAAAAAAAGAACATATCTGCTTGGATTTTGACGACTCTTATGCTTTTCTTGAATTCTATTTGATACTAAATGTATCCATATTGTTTTTCATAAACTGAAGAAGAATTGGTGATCAAATCTTCTGGTGTGAGTGTTGGTGCACACCTAATCTTCCATTAATATCTAGACCTACATCCACACTTAAACCAATGAAACGAATCGAATCCAAACAGCACTTTTTGCCAATCGTTTCGTGCTCTGGTAAGAAGTGTAAGTGTTCTTTTATAGTAGTCGATGAATTTTGGATGTTTTTCTTTGAAGAATTCAAGCATTTTACAAATAAATGTGACAAATGTCAATGTGATATTTCACAACATACGATAAGAAATTATAGATTAAAATATACATTTATAATTTAGTTCAATTGAAACATAAAATTATTCAGTTTATTTTGTTTTTTATTAACAACTTGTTCATGTCTCGCAAGAAAATGATTACATTTGATTTGCTCTCAGTTAACTGATCAAACATGATGAAATTATTCGTTCAAATAGAAACGAATCAATATTTACTAAAAGATCTCTGTGAAGAACTGGACAGCTTCAGAAAAGAATGCGAAAAACTTGATCTCTATCGATATTAGATTAAAAAGCAATGGATGTATCTGAAGTATACAAATTCCTAAGCAATGTGGATGAAATGAAAGAAATTAGTGAACAACTATCGATTATGCAAGAAATGAAAACGATTTAAGCTTTTTTTTTATTATAGGAAAATAAAACTTATTATTTACTTTGACTTTGTACTCGTAGAGATTAAAATCTAGGTTGAGTGAATAGTGTGAGTTCAATAAGGGCCTATTTTCTAATGTTTGAGTATGTGGGTGTGGGTGTAGTAGTATCGGAATAAACAAATTCGTATTCACATTCATCCAATTTTCATCTAGAGCTGTATAAAATTGCACATAGAGTTGAAGCATAATTTGTTGACTGACATCGAATCAAATAAAAATATATTTGCCAGATGATAATTAAACTGAATTTTAATTATAGATGTTCGATTCGAGTACGATATTACTATTATACGTCAATTATTTTACATATAATAGTTTATTATGCATTTCGTAATGATTGGTTCGACTATTTGAGTCATTGAAAGTTGGTAAAAAACGACATGACTCACATAGAAAATGCATATATAGTAGCCGCTTTTTGTTGAATCATTAATGAGATGCAAAACTGCAAGAAAACTACAATTTTTTGAACATATCAATGAAGAAGAAAAAAAATCATCAGTTCCTAACTAACTAATGTTAAGGAACAACAATCTCTATTCGCTTATTTGCTCACTTAGACAATGCAAAGAGATATAGTCAACGCTCTCACGTAATATTGTTATTTAAAACATAGAGTTAAGATAATTTATTATCTTTAAAACACATAACAACGGATAAGGTAAAAACGTTTTTTTTTGATTTTCGTGTTAAGACAAATTATTTCAAGTTGTATGACAAAATATATTCGTTCTATGATTCAAAATAATCAGGGTTGTTTTTTGCATTTCATAGTGATGCAGTGAATGAAAGACGAAAAAGCAAACTTTCAACTTGATACGTTTCTTTGTTGTTTTTCTGTCCTTCATCGTCTTCAAACATCATTTTTGTGATATTTAAATTGCAGAACACAACATGAGTATTGTTATAGAAAATGTGACGTTCTGTTTCGATCCTCCAATACAGTGACACATTCATCATCACTGTAATAAGCAAGAACAACTAATCACATATTTTTCAGCGATTATTCATAAAATAAAATTTTCTTTTCATTCGTGTACGGATTTACTAGTCTACAATCATTTTGTATATTGTTATATCGAATGAATCAACTAATTGTCAGCAATTTGAAATATTAACGGTTTACTAAAATATTAACATACGACAGTTAAGTGAAAAAATAATTCTCTCTTCTATTTAGATTTCAAGTTACAAATATATATGGAATTAACGACGATCGAAGTTCGTTTTAAACAAACTGGCGAACATTTTCATGTGCCTGTGTCAAATACAACTACCGTGAAGGACATAATTAAATATGTTTGTGAAAACAGTGTTATTAGTGCGAAAATCGACTACAATAATTACTTTCTTGCTTTGCTGAATATTGAACATGAGCTAAAAGATGATAGCATATTCGAAGAAATCAGACCACGTTCAATAGAAAATCCTGATTATCAAGTGCGCATGAAAACCCCAAAGCGTGGGGATATGGCAACGCTTCTACGAGAATATTTACAAGCAGGTCGACCTCGACATTTTATTCAATCAGAACCACTATCGAATTCAACAGATTCTGGCACAGAAATAGAAGCTAATGTAAGTGTAAGTACCAAGATGTGCTCCGAAAAGTCTTTTTCTATATGTTTTTACTATTGCTACTTGTTTAAACTCCATCAGTCATGCATTTAAAAAGTAAAGTAACATATTTTTGTTATTTTTTTCTCAAGTCGGTTTCGTGTACTGGCGAAAATGTCATCGGAAATCATCTAGTTACGTCCACGAGCATACGTCAAATTGACTCACAAACGATATCAACTCCAATACCATCTGAGAATACTTCCGCTCTCTTTCAATCCGATAGTGTCGCTGAAATGCCTAAACCCAGTAAATTACCCGACACTCAATCGAAACAGTTTAGTGATACTTCATCCAAGCAAGATGATGAAACAAGATCAACCAACAGTGTCGATGAAACAACAAATCCATGTACGTTATCGAGTACCGAATCGGAAAATTTCACCAATACTTCATCAAAGAAAGATGAGGAAATCGAGCCCGTTTTGTCATCGTCCGAAAACAGCTCCTCGCTGTTTGAATCTGATAGTGCCAATAAGTTGCCAAAAAACAGCGCATTACCCAATACTCAATCGGAAAAATTCTGTGGTACTTCATCAGAGAAAGACGATGAAACAATCGTTTCTGTTTCGACTAAATCAGAAATAGACATAAAAAGTCCAAGTGTAGCAGCCTCACTTCATGTACAATCGGCACAACAGAAACTAGTGATCTCAAAGATGGAATCTACACCGGACGATCACGAATCATCTTCGTCTCGTTCTGAGAAATTAGCGAGTACTTATCAACAGTTCACAAGCAAATTGAATAAAATTGGTGCAAATGTAACCCGGGATCCAGTCATGCGTCGTAGTATTACTGAAACGTTCAATGAAATCAATATTCTTTTATGTGGTGCACCACGAGTTGGAAAGAGTACATTAATCAATGCCATATGTGAAAAGCAATTAGCTAGAACAAGTGCTGGACTTGATGCCTGTACGACTCGTATCTCTCCTTACTTTCTCAAAGGTACCGTTGAAGTCGATTCGGGAATGATAAACTATCGATATAATTTCTGGGACACTCCAGGTATTGAAAAATGGACGTCAGAACAGATACGTAAACTATTAGAAGAAATAAAAAACAAGCCGAAATCTGATATTCTCTGTATGATCTATTGCGCATCGCCAGGTTCTTTCGCAAGTCTTGGACAGCTAGAACGATTATTAAAAGAGTGTATAGATCAACAAATATTTTGTGCTCTCGTGTGTACAAATAAATGGGGTGGTAGTACCACTCAATTTGAAGCTGTTATGAATGATTTTGAACGATTACTCGAGAAATACCATTGTAAAACGCGAGAAGAACATGGTGTCGTATTTTTCGGTAACATGGGATTATGTACGGCAGTCAACAGTGAACAATTTGTAATTAAAAGCTTGAATATGGTATTTGAGCCATCGGGTATTGACGAACTCATTCTAGGTATTATGGAATCACTTGACGATGAAAAACTTGCACAGTGGTGTATGTTAGCATTTGAAAACAAGAGATTTTGGAAAAACTTCTCTAATTTTCCATCACAATTGAAAAGCACGTGGACCAAACTACTCGGCAAAAAATAAACTGTAGAAAGATGAAAAAATGCAATTAATAGTGTTTTGAAAGTGTGTAACATACTCTTTATTATGTACCTGATTCTGTTTGCCAATTTTGCTATAGATCGAAATGAAACTGTTCAATCGATTCTATTGAAAATAATACATATTTATATTTAATTGAAATACTGCTCAGCGCAGTAGCTCACTATTATTTAGCCACTAATAACAATCTTGATAGTGAGTAAGGGTCTATAGATTAGCGTTCACTATTTAGACGATATTTAGCTGCATCCTCATTCGAACTAAAGAGGAGTTGAATGAAGGAAAGTGTGCTTATCATAAAAAGGAGCATTCGAACTTTCGGATTACAGTACAAAAATCTGGAGAAGCTTTGATTAGAAACAATCGATCGAGCATAAGCATGAGACTCGTATCTTGTCAGTTTGTTGATTTGAGAGTAGTAAACTAGAAATATAGTATCATGCACTAATTACCTTGAAGATAAGTTTTCTAAAAGCTCAAACCAACCAAAAAATATAAGTTATTGATAGCTCAAGTTATGTTAGAATTTTTATTTTGCTTAGATGTATTTCGAGTCTTGCTGAATGACTGCTTCTCTGCTGCTGGCGTAAACCGTCGAAATTTCACTTCTTCTTGTTATTCCATATCGCGAATAATGTCTTGATATGTCAATGGTGAATAAGAATCACTTTTGTATTTTGTTGAAATATGAGCGATCTCTTTAGTTTGACGTACAATACCGTTATAGTCAGGTGCTGTTGGATGCTGGTATTGTTTATCGGTATAGAGCGCCTCTTTTCATACATGTACTACCACCCACACACCCCACACCCTATTTAGAAGCACATAAATATCTCAAAAAGTGGACGAAATATTTGTAACAACATTGCCTCCAAATCACATAGGCATAACAACAATCTCACAATACCCAGAATAAGTCAAGGAGAAAGTGTAATTTTCCTTTATCTTTTCCCTATTGATATCGTGAATTTGACTTTAACGGTGCAAGTGTAAGTGGGTGTATAGGATGTGTGTGTGGAAGTTGAGATGTTGAGCACGGGTGTGAGTCCTCAACCTGAGTAATAGGCAATCAATAGCATATTCCTTTGATAAAGAGCTACACCGATACGCTTCGGATTTCAATTCGAAGTTTCCATATAGATTTGTGCCTTATTTACTTTCTTGTTACATCAATGTTGGAAAACAACATATTATGTACAACTTGATTTTTTCATCGAAAAGATCGATTAAACAATGCAAAACTACGACTTTGCTTCTCAAAGTTGAGGAGAAAAATTCGTCAAATCATGTATAAAATTTTCATTTTCTTGGGAGCAAGTGATCAAACTTTGAAAAAAAGCACCAGTTAGTAACTGATTTTTGGTGCAATACTTTTCATCGCCCTACACCCAACATTCACTGATAGCTTGTAGTGTCAGTAGCTTCATCATAGACTACGTTGTAGTTTCGTTTCCATTTAGGGATGTGGCTGGGAACTTACAATCGCAATTAAGAGACACATACGCTCACACTCTGACAACGGTGTACAACAGCACATCGAGTAAGGCGTTACCTTAAGCGAAAAAATGCTGACTATACTAAAAGTAGGGAAAAAGAAGGAAAAATTTGTTTTCGTCATACTTTAAAACCGCGATAAACAAAGCCTTTCTCATATACTTGTTTAAAAACAAATCACATCGACTCCACAAACCACGGATACATTGTTTTATAATCACGTCAAAAATCAATCCATCGACCCATACGATCCATAATTTTCTAGTCGTTTTCTTTTGAATGTTTCAAAGTTTTCATGTATTTTTAATCCTTTCACAGGGTGTGCGTGTGGGTATGGATATTGATAGGCATGATTGTATTCGTTAATAAATACCCTCACTCCACACCCACACTCACACCCACACCCTACGAATGTGAGGTTTTTTTGGAAAAGCACTAATCAGCGAGCTCCTTATTTCATTGATTTATGACTATGCGACTTGAGTGATATACGAGTGGGTTTTTACTGCAAATATTTTATATTAGTTTAATTAAGTTGTAGGCTATATGTCAGTTCTGTATGTACGCCCGACAGGGGCTATGCTAACAGGCTTTTTCATTTGATTTGCTTACATCCTAGAGAATTTTGTCAGCTACATGAGTTTGTTGTACACCTTGTTTTTGTAAGTAGTGTCGTTTGATTGGTTATTTACTGCTAAATAGCGATTTCCATAGTTTGTTCTAATGAAGTCAAGAAGTTTTTCATTGTCATCTTTCAAATATTGATCGACAGCAGAGAATATCGAAGTGTCAGGTTGTTCAACGTTATCAGCATAGGAAAGCACAGCGATACTATTGTCTTTGATTATAGTATCCCCGAAGATAGTAGCTAATTCATTGTAAACCGATGTCTCACTTCTTTCATCAACTTCTCCACAAGGTAACAAGACAAGAATGACAATGTCATCAACTTTCTTCGAAACACTATCCACTGTTTTTTTTATAGTCACTCGCACATTCGTATTGTTGGTGTTTATGTTAAATCCAGGCGTATCGATGATTGTTAACATGTTGACTTCCCTCCGTTTACATTCTTTTGTGACGCCATTACTTGATCTTGATGATTTAAATACTTTCTCACCGGCAAGTAGGTTTACAAACGCACTTTTTCCTAAAATAAGTATTGTTTAAGGATAATTTTTTGAAATGACGCTTACCTGTCTGAATACTTCCAACCATGAAAAGAGCGATTTTTCTTGCTGGTTATTAAATGAAATATCGGAGTAGTACAAAACAACTGGAAAAGTATAGAACTATAGAATACATGTGTTAAACCAAAACCTTTAGTGTTCTAAAGACTATTTGTGAGTACGTATAACGATGTGTGTGAATATCTGCTACTCTTGCATTCATTTATATCCTCACACCAGCAATGTCAAAGATTCGAAAAATGTGTACTTGACAGAAAGACCGTCAGCTGTCTACCCAAGCAGACAAAACTTTTCAAAAACGCGCTGAGACGCACGAAAATGGATACAAACACTAAAAAACGTGGTTCCAGACTGTCGGCCAAAATGCCCAGTTTTGGGACTGTCCATGAGTTTAGACGTGTGTTTGAAAAGTTTTTTCTGCTTGGGAAAGGACGCTTCTCATTGGATACATTTTAAAATATATAATTCGCTACAGAATAGCAACATATATTTATCATTTCAGCAGATAGTACCCTCTTCCAGCGGGCATCAGTAATCACTGAATGGCTATTTCATTCTTCTATTTGATACAAATTCAAAACAGGATTGCTTATAGTATTACTATAGAAAAGTTAGAAATAAAAATCCAGATTTTCTATATTATTAACAAGTAACGCTCGTTGCTCCGACTTTGTCAATCCTCGGCTGAACTACTAAGTTTCAATTTTTAGTTTCGATATGGAAAATGTATAAAAATTCAGGTTTGATCTTTTGTCTTGCTAAATTGAGGATTAAGAACGTTTTCAGTATCAGTTTCATTTTGTTATACTTATTAAGTAGTGATTTCTATTAGTCATCAATGATTTTTGATATTTCCATACTGGCAGTATGGAAATTTTCAGCCCTACTGCTTGAATTTTCTTCTATTCATAGCATATAATCTGGTGGCATTCATCCAATCTGTCGGGTATTGAAACATATAGAAAGTAATTACTATTTGCATAAACTTTTAGTGTGCCAGCAACACAAATATTTGGGTTCTATAATAACTACGGATGTAGCGTGCTTTCTGTTTGGCTTGCAGTATTATATCCTCTATTGTCCATATGAATGTTTCCTGGTGTATGAACGTTACATGAACGTGAACGTGAACGCTGCCAACAATTAATGGTTCTACACACATCACTGAAGCCTTGCTGTAATACTTCTTGTACTCGTAATAGATAATGATCCCACATCATACAGCAGACTTATTGTGTAACTTCCAAAAAGACTCGATAGATAACGAGCTTTTCTTTAATCACTCCCTTGTATTAACTTCAACGAGAACAGCCCATTGCCCTCCAAAGTGGTATACGGCCATCTAGGGACTCATGATCAGTCTTACTATCTCAGCACTAAGTTAAGTATATTAGTCTAAAAAATCGAGTTCAGATTTTCTACAATCTGACTTCAGACTCGGATTCCCCAATCGTGATCATCTATCGTCAACGTTTATAATATACCACTACTTTCTCTAAAAGACTCTCCTTACCTGAAAAACATCGACTTCAAAATTTTAAAAATCTGACTTCAGATTCGAAGATTCAGACTCATCGTTTACAAGTAGCACTTCAAGAAGTTTAATAGTGACCTTTCACTGGGTACGAACAGATATACACACACAGACAGGCAAACGCATTGTTTCATATGATCCACCCTATACTCGATAGAATTTGAAACGTTTTCTGATTCAAAAGATTCAGGATGCATCCGTCTTATTGAATTTTTAGAAAGTGGTCTGGATTCCTCCAGTCGGGTTCGAAAATTGCCGGACCTGATGGGATCCACCCTGGATAACATCTGGGTGTCGGTGTGGGTGTGGGTGTAGGTGTGGGTGGGGTGTGGGTGTGGGGTGCGGGTATTCGTCTGTTCTTCAACAGCACTCCCATATCCATACAAACACCTACATCTGCCCACACCCACACCCTCTAATAGTCAATACTATAAATTTATCATAATGGGAAACACATATGCCTCTCAGACGGAATGCCTCTTCAAAAATCCATTTGGCAAAAAGAAATTACAGGAAAAAATACATAGAACTACGTAAAAATTTTCGGGTTTTCCTTTTAGACTAATTAGAACGCTGTCTTGGGGCGTGCCAGATTTGTTGACTTATTCGGCGGTGTCCTTTGAACGCTAAGATTTTAATGAATACTTCAGATGAATTTCAACATTGTACGGAATATTTTATATCTTCAAAACTCTATTCCCGTGTATTTTTTTGTAAAAACTTGAACAGGTCATTTTAGTTGATGTTTTCAATGATGATGAAGTAGCCTACCAAAGAGCTGAGTTATTCTATCAATTGCCTCGTCTGTAGGGATGGTCATATGAAAAAAAATGGTTTGTGTGCGTGTGCTTGGGTTTGGATCGGGGTCAAAAAACATCCAGGACCAAAAAACTTCCACTTTAGAAAATTTTCTAAAAAGGTTGACGAAAGTAGACCGGGGTTGGGGAATTCGAATATGAAGTCAGATTTTTCGAAAACTCAAATAGTTCTTTGTCTGAAAAAGTCGTACTTTTCTCGATCGACAGAAGTAATACTAAAAGAATCTTCTAAGAGAAGTTATAGTCCGTAAGGCAAATGCAGAATAATCCATGATTGCTTTAATTTTCTCCAATAATATACCAAGCGACTATGAGCAAGACTTGAGAGAAGTGCCGACAAAGGACTAACCTCTAATATTCAGTCAAGGTTTAAGCGAGTCGCACAGACGAGCGTTACTTGTAATTTTAGTTCGATGAAATCAGATGAAAGGAAAATGCTTCATTACACTTACATCTTCCAGGTAAAAGAAAAAGCCTAGTGCAGTGTTTATGGGTGTAGAGTGTGACTGCGTGTGTGTATCCATGTGGCTATGTATGGGATATGGCTATGGCTTTGGTTGTGGAGTGTAGCTTCGAATTGTGGCTGTGGTTGTGGAGTTTCACTTGGAACTGTGCCTGCGGTTACGGCTGCGGTCGTGGCGAGTACGGTTCGAGGTCTGAGAGTACTAGGGGATGTCTCTATGAATGACCACTAATGAAACACTCTTGACCACATTCATACCAATACCAATACTAACACGCATATACACACCCATACCCATACCCACACCCATACCCATACCCACACCTACATTCACTCACCCACACCCACACCCACAGTTTGAGCCACTAAAAATGAGAAAATACCATTAAGTAGAGATATTGGAGTTGTCCCAATACAGATTATTCGACAAATAACGTCTGAAATTTCACTTTTCTTTGAGAACTCTTGTGGTAAAGATCAATTTAGATGATCACAACCAAGAATGACTTTCTAAAAAAAATCAGTTTTTCTTTCAGGAAAAGTTAAAAACTCATTCCAACTTCATACTTTTGTTTTAACGTTTTCTTTTCTTAAAGAAAGACATTTTTAACTGTACGGAACGAATACTTTCCCATTTTTTTGAAGTAAATAGTTTTCGCTGCACATGTTCACATGCATGCTAAAAAATAAACAACCAATAGAAAACGCCTATGAGTGACAAAGTAACTAATGTTCTAATTGAAATTTCACTATTATGACGAGACTGAAATATAAATGAGACAGTATAGAAAATAAGGGCTTATTTTTCTCTTTGAGTTCACAGGAAAGGAGAAAATCTCCTTAAGCCCTCGATGCAAAAAGAAGGCAGTTTCACCACCAATTTTTGATATTTCTAAGTAAAACACGCACGAATGACTTTATTGCAGCTCATTACTAAAGAGAGACCTGAAGTAGAAAATGAGAGTTAAAAGAGGAAGAGAATTATGGTGATTCAAAATAGATATTTTTAACAATGAAAAGGAATAAAAGTGCTTTTCAAAGATTTTAAGCCGTCATCAGGATGGAAAACGTGTTCTGTACGGTGATGGAAAGATATTTAAGTTCGAAAAAATATATTCTTCATTTGCGTTTGCGATCTAGATTTTCTCACTGAATTTTCCATGTACTATCAAAATGGTTTCAAATGAATCCTTTTCTCGAAAAGGTGAGAACAGAATTTAATTAATATGAAATCAATTTCGTTAGTATTATTTAAAAAAAGAATATCATTATAAATTCTTCTTACCGCTGTACACGCTTTACACAATTCAATACCATTATTAAAAAGAAAGATCAGTTTTTCTATTGTTTATCACCGTAGAATCATAATATGTTGGTATTCACATATACTGAAATACATAGTCTGGTTTCTATATCTTAATATTAAATTTATCTACACTTAAGCATTTAAGTTACTATTTTTCATACGAAATAGTATATTCATAAAGTCTGTATTATACACTATCATAATACTTTTCAATAGCAACTAGGTATTGATAAGTAATACGTAAAAGTGGAATGCAATAAAACGGATCAAACCTTTGATATAGACTTACAAATGATAAACTACTAATAATTTAGAAATATAGACAAGTTTAAAATCAAAACAAGTTAAGCCAAAGCATCAAGTTTACTTATATTACTATATAATAACTACTATCTCATTCATTTTTTAATTAAATTTTGAATTTTTATGACGTGTTAATTCCTATGAAAAAACGTTAAAGTAAAATGCACAAACCAACTGCACAGATGACTTCAGTTTTGTTAACAAAGTTGTGATTCATAGACGATGTGAAAATGTACATAAAAAAAGTGTTCTGCACAATGGCAAATCATTATTAATCGTTCTATGAACCATGAAATGAGAGAGACTTGTCTTTATAGATCGAGTTTGGAAAAAAGTAATTAATTGACATTCATGATAATCCATAAGCCCATTTAAAAAAGAATAAATTTTCAGAAAAAGAATGTAAGTCAGCCATAGATGTCACTACTAACTCAAAAGCTATTTGGACAATGTATATCGTTCTAAGTAATTTTAGGATATATCCCTATGACAATCTTTCGTTTATATTTTTTCACATTGAAGAAAACAAAATTTTCGATAAAAAGTATCAAATTACACCTACGTTCAAAGTGGTTTTCTAGAGAGCTTCTGACAAGATTTTAGTCTTAATCGTTTCAATTTCAAATGGACATGCCGATCAGGTTGTAAGAAAATGAAAAACCCACAATCACACCCTGCTATACGAAAAATATATATTAATTTTTTGATTGTCAGAGCCATAAATGCCTGATGCTCAATATAATTACGGAAAGCAAATATCTGAATCACTAGTAAAAATAATGATAACTTCGGTATGCAAATTTTTAATTAATTGTTCGTAGTCTGGCGATAGTTTGACTTTCCGGTATTCATCGAATATGTAGAGGCACTTTTAAGGAAGTCACAAAAAGCAAGAATGCTCATGAAAACTATACAAACTGTTAAAATCTATAAGGGTTTTTATTTTATTAAGTGAATAGTGCGACACAGGCATAGCTATTGATAGGTTATTTGATTTGGAGTTGTTCTATAGAAAGACTATTATAACAGGCATAGTAGAAAAATATGATTATAAGAATTTTCGAGGCAGCAAGAGACAGAAAAGATTAAAAAAGAAGATTTAATCGAGTTAAAAGTACATGTTATTACATTCGAATTATTAGCGAACAGAAATTGAAGGCTAGCTAAAGAGACATGTATAGAATTTGAATCAAATATAAGCAATATCAACAACGATAATAACAAGAATACATCGAATCAAAGCTAAGATAATGAGCAAATGAATTGTAGTGTAATATTATCATATGTTCCTGGTAAGAAAATATTCAAACGAAAATCTAAAAAACAGTTAAAATTGAAATAGCATTTATCCTATGCATCCAAAATACAATCACAATGCAGTCAACGTTTGAAAATTTATTAAAAACCTTATTCTCTACCTAATTGCATGCTTATATAATAAACATGCGAAAATAATAAATGATAATTAAGATAATAAAAATTCAGAAAGATATAAAATTTATAGAAAAAGAAAAAAGAAATTTCAACGTGTGTGTGATACAAATGATGTATTTTGTTAATGAAGAAGAAGAAGACAACTGAAAAGAAAGAAAACGCATGAAAGAAGTAACCTATCGAATAAGAGGTGAACAAAAGGATACAAATGATAAAATCAATGAAGCATAAACACCATCTTTAAACAAAGGAAAAGAAAAAAAATCAAAATATTTGAAGAAATCAATAAAATCAGAAAAAAATACAAAAGGACTAGGACACATCGAAAAATAAGACGATTACAGTGATATGGAAAAGGATTCAATTCCTATGCAGCGATTACAATAACAACTTTATTCTTTTGTAACATTATAAAAAGAAAGACTAATGGAAAATAAAAATAAAAATAAAATTGATTGTTTGTTGCTATTTAATATGCTTGTTTTTGATAAATCTCTAACTAATTTACTAGTATTAAATGAAAATTGAATAAAAGAATTAATTCATATCAGCGAAGTGTCTGAGAACGAATTAGTTTACGACAGGTTCTGGCATTACTATTTGTACGTGGTAGAGTTCTATTAAGTTAAATATTTGTGACACTCTTTATTGATGACGTTGCTGTTGCAGATGCGCTTTCATGCAAAATTTTGTCGTAATTGAGGCGTGTCGAATATATAAATTAGTAATAAGGTGTATATGATAATATATAGCTATTACTATTGATAGATCATTTTATGTCATGATCGATGAATCATTTAAGAGTATATATAAACACATGTGACGCTGACTAACGTCGAAGCACATTTTCAAGTAAATCATTCTTGTTTGAATGTTAGTATTATTTTATTCAATGAAATCAACACTGCTCATCGCTCTATTTTCTCTTTATCTTCTTTCAACAATGCTGACTGGATCCGAAGGAGCTAGTTTAACACAGTGTACAAAATATGGTGATCCACCAGTGCAATCTAGTGGGTCGAGGCTTAATTACAATAAGATGGTTCAAGTTTGTAAAAAACTATCGGGCCAACGACTTACTTTCACAGATAGCAATAATGAAGCACGTTGTGCTTGTCTCCTGATTACATCCTCATCAAAAGCATTGCCTCTAGTCGTCTGGCTTCAACCATCGGTTGTTTACCCAACGTCAGTATATAATACGAATTTCATAGTCGAAGCATCTACTGCCAAATTGACGGGTAAGGCTAGTGGTCCATCTGGCTATCATTTACTTCTACCAGCCGCTAGAATCACGAAAAATTTTGAATGTAGTGCCGTTAGTTGTATTGCTTGGGATACTTGGTACCGAAACTTTAACCGATCTGATCTCAAGATGAATGTCGATGTTCGGACAATAGATTATTTCATTAATCATGTAGTCTATCATATGCCCAATGTACATGTTGATTCTTCTCGTGTTTTTCTATCTGGTTGGAGCAATGGGGCCTCCATGGCGTTGCTATATGCACTCAATGCGCCCAACATTGCTGCTGCGGCCACATATTCTTCAACAAATCCTTATCAAAATGACAATGATCCATGCCCACAAACACCTTATCCATCACAACGTACATCAGTACTTGATTTGGTCAACGAATGTGATTCTGCTGGTATTTGTTTAGGCGGCCAAAAATTCATTGCTGATTTGAACAATCGCTATGGAAATCAGCTAACAGCTAAATTTATCACAATTACCGGGTATTATCAACCTAAGCCAACACCGACACCGAAGTGTGTTACTTGTTCAGAATGGCAAGGTTTGTTTTATCATGGACGATGGCCAGTGAACCTTAATGATCAAATATTCTATGCCTTCTTTCGAAACTATACATCACATTGATATTATCTATAGATGACGTCTTAAAACAAACTATCATGAATGGCTCGTAGCCAACTATTTGCTAGTCTTTTTTTTCCGATAGTATTCAAAAATTGTTTATCGTTCTATTTCTAAATATAAAGACTATAATGGCAAGAGTGAATACTGAATACAAAGAAACGGAATCTCACTTTCTTTGTTATTTTTTCTTCTATGTTAAGCCAGACACATTTTAAAACGGAAACTGAGATTCAAGAAAAAACTCATTAGAATAAATGATTGTTATTTACGACTATTATTCGCACTAACAAGTGTAATATTGACGCTTTCAGGCACCACTCTATCGTACAATTCTCGCGAAGTAGTCACATAATTTTCTCATAGATATCTCTTTTACCCAAGGGGGAAAAAGCGAGACTCCAAGAGTGCGTACTCCACTTGTACTCCAACTGTACTCCAAGTGTACTCCACTCGTCCTTCACCTGTACTCTATCTGTACTACGCCTGTACTCTATCTCTGCTTTTCTGTTACGAACTCTACTGCGGTTCTTGTTTGACAGTATTCAATTAAGATTACATTCAGCGGAAGTAACACGAAAGATCTGCGAGTAAGAGAACTGAATATTGTTCCGAGGTTATATTACTGTCTTCAAAATAACCTAGTGATATTATGTCTAATTGACGTATGCTAGGAAATATCAACTTGAGTCTATTGAATAAAAGCTCATTTGGAAATAAAGCACGGATATTACAGGATGCGTTTTTTTCCTCTGTTGACTTCGGAAGACAATTAAATAATACAGTTATCGTTTGTCGCAAATATGGATGATACTTTCGCATTAAAACTTGTCTGTTAAAGTGGTTAATTTTTAAATGGCCACTTAAAACTTTGAAAGTTAAGGTTAAAGTTTAAAATAATACTAAGCTTTAAACATCAACGTTTGAAACATAGCTTTAAACTTTAAGAGTTAAAGCTTAAGCCTCCTTACTTTAAGCTTTCGCTTTAAAACATTCCACATTAAAGTGAATATTTTCCTATAAAATAAATTTTTCTTAGGAATTCATAAAAGTGAATAAACCTTTATAAAAGTATTCATAACTTTAGATGCGCCGTGTAACAAGGTCATTCATATGTAATCATCTACCAGAGGCCGGAACGGGGCGAGTTTTTCATTCCCCGCCTCACCCCGTCTTAAGAAAACCTTTCTTTGCCCCGCCCCGCCCCGCCCGAATTTAATTATTTTTTCGTGCCCTGGCCCCGACCCGCCTCGAAAGAAGCCTTCCCCGTCTTGCCCCGCCCCGACAAAATTCCTTTTTTTTCCTCCCCGACCCCGCCTCGCCCCGATAAAAACATTCCCCGCCCCGTCTCGTGAAAGGACGGGGGCGCATAAGACAGCATTTTGGCCCCTTTGATTATTACGACCAAACCTAATTTAATCATATATAGAATGAAAGAGCATGAACTCACGATCATTTTGATGC